AACATATACACGCTTGTTTTAATCTTCCTTTGTGAGTGCATCTAACCTTGTTCAATAAATGAATTATTTTAATGCTACACTCAAATTATGCTTGTCCTCTATTCTCCTCTTAGTGTATTCCTAATGACACCACAAATGTAGACCATAAATGCAGTGCAATGCAATTTACCTGCACTGGATCACATGGTACCGCAGTGCCATGTGATCCATTTGCTATGCATTCTTAAAAATAGCTCATGCACTTCTTTTGGTGTGCTCCAGTCAATTTCAGTCCTTTCAGATGAATAGGCTCAAAATTGCACTGCACAGCAATTTCACAATGTGAAGGTGTGAATCATCCCAGAAAGGGTAAAGAATACTAGAGGCAAACAAACTTTGCACTTTGAAAGTGCAGTTGAATTCATATAAAAAAATGACTATGCATACATACAGATGTAGACAAAATTATGGAAACAGCAGGTAAAAGAACTAACAAAATCTTTACCTAATGTGGTGTTGGACCACCCTTGGCAACCAAAACGGCCTGAATTCTCCTGGGAATTGGCAAATATAAGTCTTGGAAGGTGGATAATGGAATCTGATACCACTCTTCATGCAAAAATCGTTCTCTAGTCCTTGCAGAGATGCTTGAGGTGAAAAATGAGCCCGAACCTTGTTCTCCAAAATTGGCCATAGTGGCTCTATGATATTGAGGTCCGGCAACTGCAGCACCCATGGAAGGTGCAAGACTTCATCTGCTTGCACGTAAAACCACAATTTCACAACTCCAGCTGTGTGAATCAGAGCATTATCGTCTTGGTAAATGGTGCTGTCTTTGGGAAACAATGTGTGCACCATGGGGTTCACATAGTCGGCCAAAATTGTACATAGTCGCTGACAGAGACTCTACCTTTCAAGGTGATGATGGGGCCTGCAGAATACCAAGATATGGCTGCCCAAACCATGACTGCGCCGCCACCATGCTTTACCGTTGGCACCAGACAGTCCCGGTTGTAAGCTTGGGACAATGTTTGCCACAAGTAAACACATCTGGTGGTTGGGACCAGTGTGAAGCTCGATTCATTGGACCATATTACAGTCTTCCATTGATCGATAGTCCACGAATTATGGGTGTTGCACCACTCTCTCTCTTCTGAGCATTAATATCGGTCACTGATAGTTTGGCCATAGCAGCTCGCCCGTGAATGTTTTGTTTACGGAGTTCCCTCCACACAGTTTTTGTGGACACAGACTTTGGAAGACTGAGATTGAGCTCTGCAGTCACTTTTTCAGGAGCTGTTTTCTTATTCCAGGTCACAATCCTGCTCCCTGTCCTTTTGTCTCTTTCGGTCAGTTGACCATATCGACCGTGCTTATGCGGATCACATGACATTTTCCAGGAAACTCTATACGCCGTCATACCCTTTGATACTGTACCTCGCATCACAGCAAATAAATTGCCAACTTCAGTCTCAGAGGCACCAGCTAAGAAGCACCAACAATGTGCACCTTTTGAAGCTCAGTAAGCTCCGACATGACTCCGTATTACTAGCAGCGCACGCAGTGAAGGACAAAAGTGACACTTCCCACCTTTTAGCTAGGTGTCTCATCACACAGCGGAATCAACAGTAAAAAATTACATCACTTTCAATGCAAAACATGTCATCACTTTCATACCTGCAAATCATATAGTGTTTCTATATTTTTTGTCTAACCATTATATATATTGTATATATGTATATATATATATATATATAGTAATTTTATATATTAGTAATTAGTATTTTTTATATATGTAATATAAATATATATATATATACACATATACAGGGGCGGACTGACAACTCATGGGGCCCCCAGGCAATAGGGGATCATGGGGCCCCTGTGTCCTTGCCCAAACTCAAAAAAGCCTATGAAAAAGGAACCAGGGGCATCTCATGGGGCCCGCTACTGACCCCGGGCCCTCGGGCAGTGCCCGAGTTTCCAAATGGTCAGTCTGCCCTCTATATATACAGTGGGCCAAAAAAGTATTTAGTCAGCCACCAATTGTGCAAGTTCTCCCACTTAAAAAGATGAGAGAGGCCTGTAATTGGCATCATAGGTAGACCTCAACTATGCGAGACAAAATGAGAAAAACAAATCCAGACAATCACATTGGCTGATTTGGAAAGAATTTATTTGCAAATTATGGTGGAAAATAAGTATTTGGTCACCTGCAAACAAGCAAGATTTCTCGCTCTCACAGACCTGTACCTTCTTCTTTAAGAGGCTCCTCTGTCCTGCACTCATTACCTGTATCAATGGCACCTGTTTGAACTTGTTATCAGTATAAAAGACACCTGTCCACAACCTCAAACAGTCACACTCCAAACTCCACTATGGTGAAGACCAAAGAGCTGTCGCAGGACACCAGAAACAAAATTGTAGACCTGCACCAGGCTGGGAAGACTGAATCTGCAATAGTCAAGCAGCTTGGTGTGAACAAATCAGCTGTGGGAGCAATAATTAGAAAATGGAAGACATACAAGACCACTGATAATCTCCCTCGATCTGGGGCTCCACGCAAGATTCACCCCGTGGGGTCAAAATGATCACAAGAACGGTGAGCAAAAATCCCAGGACCACACGGGGGGACCTAGTGAATGACCTGCAGAGAGCTGGGACCAATGTAACAAAGGCTACCATCAGTGACACTCTACGCCACCAGGGACTCAGATCCTGCAGTGCCAGACGTGTCCCCCTGCTTAAGCCAGTACATGTCTTAAGCCAGTACAAACTTCAGGGCCCGTCTGAAGTTTGCTAGAGAGCATTTGGATGATCCAGAAGAGGATTGGGAGAATGTCATATGGTCAGATGAAACCAAAATAGAACGGTTTGGTAGAAACACAACTCGTGCTTCGAGGAGAGAGAATGCTGAGTTGCATCCAAAGAACACCATACCTACTGTGAAGCATGGGGGTGGAAACATCATGCTTTGGGGCTGTTTCTCCACAAAGGGACCAGGACGACTGATCCATGTACAGGACAGAATGAATGGGGCCATGTATCATGAGATTTTGAGTGCAAACCTCCTTCCATCAGCAAGGGCATTGCAGATGAAACGTGGCTGGGTCTTCCAACATGACAATGATCCCAAACATACCGCCCGGGCAACGAAGGAGTGGCTTCGTAAGAAGCATTTCAAGGTCCTGGAGTGGCCTAGCCAGTCTCCAGATCTCAACCCCATAGAAAAACTTTGGAGGGAGTTGAAAGTCCGTGTTGCCCTGCGACAGCCCCAAACATCACTGCTCTAGAGGAGATCTGCATGGAGGATGGGCCAACATACCAGCAACAGTGTGTGCCAACCTTGTGAAGACTTACAGGAAACGTCTGACCTCTGTCATTGCCAACAAAGGATATATAACAAAGTATTGAGATGAACTTTTGATATTGACCAAATACTTATTCTCCACCATAATTTGCAAATAAATTCTTTCCAAATCAGCCAATGTGATTGTCTGGATTTGTTTTCTCATTTTGTCTCTCATAGTTGAGGTCTACCTATGATGCCAATTACAGGCCTCTCTCATCTTTTTAAGTGGGAGAACTTGCACAATTGGTGGCTGACTAAATACTTTTTTGCCCCACTGTATATATATATTTATAGATAGATATCAGCTTTCAGTCCACTGCAATTCAGTGTAATAAAGTTGCTTTGTGTAATGACAGAAAATATTGGGGGTCAAGGCCCTTAGGGGTTGATTTACTAAAGGTAACTGGGCTGTGCACTGCAAGTAAAGTTGCTTACGATTCGAGGGGAAGCTCTGAAATGAGGTGAAACTGCCAATTTCTGTCATCTAATTACGTGTAAGCAAAAATGCTGTTTTTTTATTTTCCTTGCATGTTCCCCTTGAATCTATAGCAACTGCACTTGGAGTGCACAGCCTATTTGCCTTTAGTAAATCAGCCCCTTAATGTCTCAATACACACACGTAAACTGGCTATACACGTGTAGATTTTCAGATGAGAATATTCACAAGAAAAGTCGTTTGAAAATTCTTTGCGCATTCACTGAATGAACGAATGTCTTTTTCTTTAAGCATTCGATTTTAAAATGAATGTAATTTCTGAATGATAACCCCATACACTGGCCGAAATTTCATTTGATCGAGAAAGGTTTTCCTTCCTGCCCTTTCGAATTTTCCCATCACTGCTGTCGAAAATTGAACATTATGATTTGACCCCGATTAGAAAATCAAACGAATGTTCTTGAAATGAAAATTCTCGAACGAAAGTCTATAAGTGTATGGTCAGATTTATATGATGGAGATCTGTCCCAGGACTGTATCACTGATTGCTCTAAGACGGTAAAAAAGGAAGAGGGAGATATTTTGAACCCAAAAATGTCAAAACTTTCTATAGGTTTATTTCAGATCGATCTAATTACTAATATTTATGTGGTTAGAAGACTTTGTTTTATTGATTTCCTTTGGCTTCCTGAATTGTTTATTCGTTTCTAAGCCTCCCTCATTTTGTATTTCAAATATGACTCTGTGAGCTATTTGTCAGCTCGTGACAAGCTATTATATTTACAAAGGAAATGCATCAATATATTGTACCTACAAACCTCCTCGTTTGTACTTAGTAAGTAACTTCAAGCTCAGGCAATCCATCTCTTTAGTGTGTCACGCCTACACAATCCGCTTTTGTTAAAAGGTGATGCGGAATGCAGAATTCAACATGTAATTTCTGTTGCGTAGCGCCTTCTTTATATTTTAAGTAGGCCCGTAAACAGCAGCATGGAGTACTTGTCTAAGGTGGATTTTTAAAATAACTCAGTGGTGAAGTGAATACGATGTATTGTCTGGCATTAAAGCCAAACTTTAAATTCAGAAAAAATATGCAGTTCAGCACGCGCATAAAAAAAGTCACAAAGAATCGCTTCTGCTGCAATACTCACATAATTTAAGGATGTCCCCTGCAGTTCTCCTTCTTTGACACTAGAGGCCGCCAGTCTTCCAGGTTGAATGTTGGTCAGTGTTATTCAACCAACTTCCTCTTAGCCCAGGCTGTCACAGATCCGCCCCCTGGGGGGGAGGGGGGATGTCATCACGCAGCCTGGGCTAAGAGTGCTACTAAATGAATGGCGCTCACACATCGTTACATAAGAGCACTTTAATAAATAATTAAATCCTAGCTCCAGGAATATTCAGAAATCACTGCAAGGCTTAAAGTGTTAATAAACCCCGGACCCTGCATTCACTATATCTGGTCTCCCCGGACCCTGCATTCACTATATCTGGTCTCCCCGGACCCTGCATTCACTATATCTGCTCTCCCCGGACCCTGCATTCACTATATCTGGTCTCTCAGGACCCTGCATTCACTATATCTGGTCTCCCCGGACCCTGCATTCACTATATCTGGTCTCCCCGGACCCTGCATTCACTATATCCAGTCTCCCTGGACCCTGCATTCACTATATCCGGTCTCCCTGGACCCTGCATTCACTATATCCGGTCTCCCTGGACCCTGCATTCACTATATCCGGTCTCCCTGGACCCTACATTCACTATATCTGGTCTTTCCGGACCCTGCATTCACTATATCTGGTCTCCCCGGACCCTGCATTCACTATATTTGGTCTCCCCGGACCGACATTCACTATATCTGGTCTCCCCGGACCCTGCATTCACTATATTTTGTCTCCCCGGACCGACATTCACTATATCTGGTCTCCCCGGACCCTGCATTCACTATATCTGGTCTCCCCGGGCCCTGAATTCACTATATATGGTCTCCCCGGACCCGATATTCACTATATCTGGTCTCCCAGGACCCTGCATTCACTATATCTGGTCTCCCCGGACCCTGCATTCACTATATACGCTCTCCCCGGACCCTGCATTCACTATATCTGGTCTCCCCGGACCCTGCATTCACTATATCTAGCTCTCCCCGGACCCTGCATTCACTATATCTGGTCTCCCCGGACCCTGCATTCACTATATCTGGTCTCCCAGGACCCTGCATTCACTATATCTGGTCTCCCGCAGTACACGCAACGTGAAAATGCAATTATTTTAGTAAATATAAACTGTTAAATACCTTTTCTCATCAACAGTTAGAGCAGTCTTGTGACTTCTATCTGTGTTCAGCCCAGCACTAGCTAATGCTTGTAGGAGGCATTTTCTTTCTGCTCTAGGAGGATGCAGAACCCCTGACCCCTGTCTGGACAGTGCTGATTGGCCCTGTGCTGATCACATGTACTTTCCCCCCAAGAAAAAAAACTCTCTAGCAACACACACCACACTGAGCATGCCTACGGTTCAGTCTGGAGATAAGTGGTGGTTGCTTGAAAAAGGGGAGGAACAGTGAAGAAAGGATCAAACGGCCTTTTTACACAGTGCAGAGGATTAACACCTTAGGTTCCCCAGTGAATATAGCAAGCATGCTTTACTACATATACAGACTGATTTTACTGTTGTGGGTTTAGTAACACTTTAAATGCTTGTTGTGTCTAATCTGATATTGGGGTGACTGCTCAGTGGTAGATGCATTTGTCGTAAGTCCGTAAGAGTCAGGATCTGTGGTTAAAGGCTTTCTGGGCCACTTTTATTGAAAATGAAAAGAAATGTTCAACACCTTGGTTGCTCATGGAAGGGATCTCAGTTCTGTTGACAATCTGGGATTCCCTCATTTTGGAGGAATTTTCTTTTATTTCTTGTTTTAGCTATGGGACAAGAAGTGAAGGGGAATCTCCCAAATAGGACACATAAAATTTTTTCAAAAATTTTGGCACATTGGGCAAAAATAAAAACAACAGGGCTTACAACTCTCCTTTACTCTATCCAAAATAATAAAAAAAAGTTTTGACTATAGTTTACTTTACCCATGTGCCTCCCCACCACAGTACATTTACTACAGTAGGGCGGTATGGGCAGAATCAGTCACATATATATATACATGATTGAGTCTTGCACCTGCTTAGGAGCGCACATCGTGCCTGATTGGGTGTTCAGCAAGCCTCTCCTGTGACTGCTGTGTCCACCAGAGACAGCGGATCACTGTTCCTGGTAACCAGGTGTCATGTGATTGGTCATAGCTAACACGTGATACCAATATAAATAACCTCAATAAGTAATAACAATGTTAAATTAAATAAACATCAATAGTCAAATAGTCACATAAATCAATACATTATAAGTAAAAAGAAAGTCCATGTGTGAAAAAAAATCCCATCCAAGTGAGTCTTTTGATGACGAAACACGTTGGGTGGAGCTACGCACTGACTTTTTTGCATTCTGAATACATGCACATGTTGTTTTAATGTCTGTAAGTATATTTCTATTCAATAAACTGATTTTTAAGAAGATTTTACACTTCTTCTTTTGACTTATATGATAATATCATACTAGGAGGATCCTTTATTACCTACTAGCAGTTTTCCTGTACATTACTAAGGCTGTTGTGGGAGCATCCTTATTTTCGTCAGTTTTTTAAATACTCAGACCAGCCCGTCTGGCACTAACAACCAAGCCACGTGCAAAGTCACTTAAATCTTCTTTCCTCCCCATTTTGATGCTCGGTTTGAACTTCAGCAAGTTGTCCTCACCGCATCTAGATGTCTAAATGCATTGAGTTGCTGCCATATGATTGGTTGATGATTAGCAATCTGTGTTAGCACGCAATTGAACAGGTGTACCTAATAAAGTGGTCGATGAGTGTACATACCTATACATTTAAATACATTTTGGTTTGCATTATTCTTTTTTCCATTTCCTAGGCATATCCTAATATTATTTCCACTAATGACAATTTTTTTTAAATTTTGTAGAATCATTTGAATGAAAATCAACGTAATTACCCTGTCCACATTTCTCCCAAAAGTTTGCTGTGTGACCACTTTCCCAATCTCTTTTTTTATCCCATTGATGAATGTTTTTTTTCCTATAGAGATTGTGGAGCAAACACAAAATTAACACTCAGCATTACACAACGTTCCAGTAACACCAATCCACCCAGGGGCAGACTGACAACTCATGGGGCCCCTGTGTCCTTGCCCAATAGGGGATCATGGGGCCCCTGTGTCCTTGCCCAAACTCAAAAAAGCCCATGAAAAAGGTACCCGGGGCATCTCATGGGGCCCCCAACTGACCCTGGGTCCTTCGGGCAGTGCCCGAGTTTCCAAATGGTCAGTCCGCCCCTGAATCCACCCTAAAGTAATAATAACCTGACAGGGATTTGAACCCTTCCCACTATCAAAAACTAATAAAAAAGGATTACATTTAGACACACTTTGGTGTAAAACTTTGCAAAAACAAAATAAAAGGAACACTTACCAAAACACAATAATTTAACGACAAAAGAAAGCAATTTTTTAAGATGTTTAAAAATAACAAACTCTAGCAAAAAAAAGAAAATGAATGCTTTTATTTTAAGTTCAATGTATTGTATTCATTGTATATACCTTAACAGTGGTAAAGAATAGTGACTTTCCTGCAAATACACCGAGCTGCCTAATTTTTTTTTTTCATCCTTGGTTCGGTGTATTATATAAAATTTGCTTGTGTTCTGTTTGAATAGAAGAAAATTGCTTGCTTTTGTAGCATGAACACAGAATTGAATGCGTCATGCCCTTCTTAGATTAACCTGCGGTAATTTCAGTATTCATTAAGTAATTCTGAGTTCAGCATTGTTGAAGTTTAATGAGGTGTCATGGATGCCTTTTAAGTCATAATAAGGTTAATTTGATACTATGATAATGAAAATTACACCGAGTCAGGCTGGGAGAAAGTGACATCGTTTGGAAGTCTCTTTGTCGCAAAAGGTCAAAAAACAGAAGGCTGAGTTTCTGGTGAAAGTGTGGAAACATATGTAATATGACAGTATTATATCCTTACAAAGTCAGAATGAATCATTTGCGTAAGGATGGGAGAGTGTTTCAAAAGAGAGAAATCTCTTTCCAAGTCTGACATTTCCAGCGGTGTTACTAACGGCCATGATTTTGGCATATATTTAGTAACAATTCTTTTTTGCAACAGTATTTTTCCAACACTTCTCTCTGTTAGCCTATAGCTATTTTGGTCATGTAAGTGCCAAACAGGAAAGGGTTTTGATGAACGAGGCTGAACCCAGCAACTCTTTTCTGCCTTGGTCAAATAAGTTACGTTATGTCCAAACGTTTGTAGAAGCTGGACCATCACTCCTATATGAGCTTGTGAACATCCCATTCCAAAACCATCAGCATTTATATAAATGTAGCGCACCCCCCTAAGGGGCTGCTGGTGACCTTGAGTCCTTTCCCCCAGCTAAAGTGCACACAGCCAGGCATTTTCTCCATTCTCTCTCTGGCTCAAATTAATGGTCTAGGGCACAGCTGTCAAACAAAAGGCCCGCAGGCCAAATCCGGCCCTCCATGCCATTTCATGTGGCCCTTGCACCTCTTCTGCAGGTAACCCCTTGTCTCCACCAATTAATTCAATAATTACCGCGCTCTAATACTAATTAAAAAAGTGCTCAGTGCTTGAAAAATAATATAAATAAATCAACAATTAATGATACCTTTAAAAAATTGTAAATACTCCTATATATGTGCCAATTAATAAATCAAATAATAATTCATGATAAAAATATATAAAGTCCAAAAAAATCCAAAAGATTTAAATAAAAAGTCCCAAGTGCAAAAAGAAAGTGCTATAGTGTTCAAGTCAAATCAAATCAAATCATACTCTCCTTCCAACATATGATTTGCTTCAATCCTGCAGCTTTATAATTAGCCTGTGTGTCTGTGAGGGATGATCCCTCCTTTGATCCACTCTCTCCTTCTAATATGTGCTTCAATCCTGCAGCCTTGCAACTAGCTTGTATGCCTGTGAGGGATGATCCCTCCTTTGATCCACTCCTTGTTGTAACAGCCAAATGCATGCAAAGAGAAAAGAATATATGGTGCCTTATCCCAGAGACAAATTCAGATTTTAATTCATTTTCACATTACACTCACATGTTAAAAACATCAATAGCGCTCTTTTATAGCAAACAACCGCTGCCTGCGGTGAAGGTCTGGCCAGAGGGTGTGTACCCCACGCCGTCAGTACTCGCCGTATCAGATGTGCGGTGACGTCACTGCCCTCCCCAACGTGTTGCGCCACAGGGACTGCGTAGTAGCTTCGTCTGAGGGATGATGTGTCTCCACCCCCACCTTGTCTCATCTGCCATATCCTGCACCTTTCAGTGCACCATCCTCTCATTTCTGTCTCCCCTGGTCTCAGCATTCAGCAGACTCTGGTAATTGACTCCACTCCTCCTTTGGTCCTCCTCTAGACCCTGCACTTTCTGCTTTCCAGCTCTGCCCTCAAAAGGGGTACACTGTGATGTTAGCGAGGGTGTGGGATTCTTGACATCTGATGTAATGGAGGGTGGGGTGCTCTGAACATCTAGTCTTACAGATACAACCGGCCCTTTGAGGGCAACCATGATGCTGATATGGCCCGCGATGAAATGGAGTTTGACACCCTGGTCTAGGGTGTCTTTTAGAGTTTTATTGAAACAATGAGCTTGAATGGGGTGAAGAGAGCATGGGATAGCCCAAAACCAGTGCACTAAACACTTTGCAGACTCTTCTCTATCTTGCTGAGCTGCACAAAATGTCCCACAGAATGCTAATGGATGGCTATGACTTCTTCAAATAGACCAAAAGCTACACCCAGCACTTTGGGTCATCTATTAACACTGCCACAGGATCTTTGGTTGTCTCCTTATCATGTCCACTGGGCACTCTTCAGTGAGGGAGACACAAACTCACTCCACCATAGGACAGCTGGACACTTTTGCCCACACTTCCTCCTGGCACTCTCCAGTCAACTGCTCCAGACCCAAACCGAGTCCAGGACTAGGCTTTGCAAATATGCCCCCAAGCTGGGACCTCGATGCCTTCTAGATGGCACCTTTAATAATTCTGCACTCGTACAGGGGTCTCCTCTGGTAGGACTGGACCCAGGAACTCTTCAGCTCCTCCTCAGGCCTCAGACTATTTATGGCTCTCCAGTCACC